TTCAATTATCTATGTTATATGTTGATGCTTGATTTTGACACCAACAAAACGCACGTGCGAGATGTTGAGTTGACCCATAAAACACACATGAAAGCAAGAGAATCGAGAGCAAATGCAGTAAGAAAGGAGTTTTAAAGTGGTTCGGATGCTAAGGAAGCAAGTCCTACGTCCACTAATGTTTGTATTAATGATAAAGGTCAGGTCGCTTCAGCCGACTAACTTTACAATGATAATACAAGGTATCAAATGTTGTATATTCTAGAGTAAACTGTTGACGCTTGATTTTGGACGCCAACTACTCGCACGTGAGAAATGCTAAGTGGACTTAGGAATCACACGTGATGGATCCATGAGATTTGAATATGAAACTAAGATTATATATGTTGCAGAAAACATAAATAAAAGATTGGCAAGAGGGGTTTTTATAGTGGCTCGGATGCAATAAGCGACTCTTACATCCACTATTATTTTATTGATTTCTGACTATTTCTATGATTTTGCCTGTAAGGCATACAAAGATGAAGAAATACAGTGTTTACAGAGAGAGAATGAAATGAAGCTTAAATATCAGCTCAACCTCCTTCTTCGGGAAGAGGAGCGCCCATTTATACACCTAAACACTCAATGTAATGAGTGTTTTGAAAGTTGTCTTGACACATGGAAGGCTCTCGTCCATTCATTTCTTGAAATGAGATAGAGTTGGTGTGAATATCTTTGAGGAGATATGGGCTTGGCAACACATTTATTAGGCTGACATAAGCGTGACTTTTGAGGCATAACAGAAGCCTCCCAGTTTTTGAAGTGCGTAATCGCGCTTCAGAAACTCAAGTCTTTGATCTGAATGGCTGCAGTCTTGAACTGAAGAGTTCGAACTGAAATCTTTTAGGAGCACGACCTGAAATCTGTTAGGAAAACGACCTGAAATCTGGCAGGAGCACGACCTGAAATCTGTTAGGAGCACGACCTGAAAGGTCATAACGAGCTCAACTTGAGAGCAAAATGACCTCGACCTGAGAGGTCAAAACGAGCTCAATGAGAAAAACGACCTCAATCTGAGAGGTCAAAACGATCTCGACCTGAGAGGTCAAAACGAGCTCAATGAGCAAAAGACATCATCTTGAGAGGTCAAAACGACCTGAATGAACAAAACAAGCTCAATCTGAGAGGTCAAAACGACATCGACTTGAGAGGTCAAGACGACTTCAGCCTGAAAGGTCAAAACGACATCGATCTAAGAGATCAAAACGACCTCGACTTGAGAGATCAAAACGACCTCGTCCTGAGAAGTCAAAACGACCTCGACCTGAAAAGGTCAAAACAAGCTCGACCTGAAAAGGTCAAAACGAGCTCGACCTGAAAGGTCAAAACGAGCTCAGTGAGAGGTCAAAACGAGCTCAACCTGAAAAGGTCATGACGAGCTCGACCTAAAAAGGTCATGACGAGCTCGACCTGAGAGCACAAGAGATCAGCAATCTCAGCGTGTGATCAGCGATCTGAACACGCGATTTGAAGCTAAAGATCAGTAATCTGAAGTCGAGGATCAAGACGGCATGGGCGTGCGATCTGCGATCTGGCCACGTGATTAGAGAACTCTGATGCGTGCGATCTGCGATCTGGCCATGCGATTGGAGAATTCTGATGTGTGCGATCTGCGATCTGGCCACGCGATCAGAGAATTCTAACGCGTGCGATCTACGACCTGGCCACACGATAGGAGAACTCTGACGCATGCGATCTGGCCAAGCGATCGGAGAACTCTGACGCGTGTGATCTGGCCATGCGATTGGAGAATTCTAACGTGTGCGATCTGCGATCTGGCCACACGATTGGAGAATTCTGACTCAGGTTTGAGATCTGAGCACGCCATCAAGGAACTTGGATGCAGGTTTGAGAATCGGATTTGCATGGGCCACCAAACTGTTGACGCTTGATTTTGGACGCCAACTACTTCACGTGAGAAGCGCTAAGTGGACTTAGGAATCACACGTGATGGATCCATGAGATTTGAATATGGAGTTGAGATTATATATGTTGCAGAAAACACAAATAAAAGATTGGCAAGAGGGGTTTTTATAGTGGTTCGGATGCAACAAGCGACTCCTGCATCCACTGTTATTTTATTTATCTCTGACTATTTCTATGATTTTGCCCGTAAGAAATACAGTGTTTACAGAGAGAGAATAAAATGAAGCTCAAATCTCAGCCCAACCTCTTTCTTCGTGAAGAGGAGTGCCTATTTATACACCTAAACACTCAATGTAATGAGTGTTTTATAAGTTGTCTTGACACATGGAAGACTCTCATCCATTCATTTCTTGAAATGAGATAAAGTTGGTGTAAATATCTTCGAGGAGATATGGGCTTAACAACATATTTATTAGGCTGACATAAGCGTGACTTTTGAGGCATAACATTATAGAATAATGAAATAAAAACAAGATCTGAAATGTTGGAAGAAAACAAAGTAGCTTGGAGAATTAATAATAAAATTAATTTTCAAGCTATAAAACAAAATGGTCATTACGTCTACCATTCCAAAATGCCCTAAATTTAGATAGATTGTATTCCTTCTTTATTACCCCACCATATATATTATCAACCATTAATTCCAATCAAATTCGAATCACAATCACATTAAAAATTCGGACGCAATTTTCCAACGTATGGCATAAGCCAAGATTCCATTTTCTGGTAACAACAAAAACAGTTAACATCACTTTTCTTGGAAGTACGTTTATTGTAAAACTGAATTAAAAACTGTATTTATCTTAAAACTGCGTTACAGAAGTTGCGTAAAAGAAAACTGACCTATGGCTAATTAAAATTAATTGTGGCGCATAATAGTTTGTTGGGCCTTTTTAAAGTAAATATAATAAGTCAAAAATGTTATTTCATGGCTTAATTCAATTATAAGATTACTATATGCTTGATTTACTTTAATACCTTTAGATACTCAATAAATTCTATATAGTCATAAAAAATTATATTTCCAACTTAGAATAATTATAAATAAGAATAAACTTCACATTGTAATAAGTTATAATTTTTCTAATTTCTGTCTTAAATAAAGTTGCCTCCACATAGTAATAATTATGTATTACAAAAAAAATATAGTATTTGTTACTTTAAAAGTTTAAGATAAGATAAAATATTTATTTAAAGTTATTTGGGAGAATGATTTTTGCTTTAGAGTTGTTACCACATCTTCTCAGGCTTGAATATTTTATTGTTAAAGCCAAAATATTTATAACTTCTTAAGTATGGTTGGAGCCAAGGTTCTGAAAACCGGACCGGATGATCCAATCGGTCAAACCGGTCAAACTAAAAACCAGACCCTTGAACGGGTCATTATCTGGTCTGATTTTCAGAACATTGGTTGGAGCTTCTTGCCACAATTTTCTTTGTATTTCCGTACTATCATTCTCATGATTATTTTTTTTCTTTTCTTGTGTAATTGTAGCAATGATTTATTCTTCAGTTAAAATATACATAACTTGTTGCTCATTTGAATGATTGAAGAAGACATTAATATCCATTCGATTAGTGTATTGAAGTTGTCAAATCTGATCACTCAATTCTACAATGACTATTTGATTCTTCTCATCCACTTTATTTATAACCTGTAATTTATCAACATCAGGGGTCCCAATTTTGTAATACTTAAAACAATTGATAATTGTCTGTGACTTCACATCAATTTAACCATGCAGTAACTATATTTACTATTCCATCAAGGACATTTATCTTTGCTGATTCCACGACACAATATTCTATTCGTTTAAAAAGTAGGCAATTGAAGTGCTGAATTAAAATCCTAATATTATTAAAACACGAACTGAAATCCTAATTCTATATTACTAAAATATGAATTATAAAATAAAAAATTTTTGTAACTACAATTCTATTAAATTATAGCCTGTTTATAGTAATAAAATTAATTAATTTCATCATTATGATAATTCATAATGGAGAGATTTTTACTATAATAAGGGTACCGTAATAAATTTAACAGTGTACTTATTGCACTAAAATAGTAAAAAAATTATTTATCTACAATAAAATAAAGAATTAGATAAAAAGAAAGGAATCTAGAAAATAAAAAGCAAAACAGTGGAAATTTTCCAGAATCTAGCCCTTTACTTGAAGGACCCCACGGCAAATCTGGCTTTAATAAAATCTTTTCAACTCCCCTTTTTGCATCCCAGCGATAAATCCACATCTAAAAGTCTAATTTTAGACAATATAAAGCAGGGCTATAATTGTCATTTCGGCCACATAAACTTCCAACCTAGAAAGGTTTATGTCATTTTAGCAACAATATATGGGCAAAACTGGTATTTCAGAAGTGAATATAAAAAAATATATGAATGGCAAAAAGTGGACGGCATTTTGTAACGCTTATATAATGCTTGAGCCAAAAGAATCTTCGCTCATCATATCCCCATTCGCCACCAAAGCCAAAGGAACAGCCATTGGGCAATTACTAAAATAATATTATTTAAAGCTACTCAGCCAGTCAGTCTCTCATCATTTTTGGTCAATTTTTTTTTTTCAGAGAAAAGACAGAGTGAAAGCGTGGAAATCGGTGAATTCGTAACCCCCTTCACTGAACTTCGTTCTGATTTCAGTTTCTCTTTCTCTTCTTTCTATCCAATTCGTTACTTCTGTATCCCTTATCTTCACCTTCTTCATTCTATCTCTCAGTCTCGCACTACTGTCTCAGGTACTGTTGTTTCTCAATCTTTTTTTGTTTTTTTTTCCACAATTTGTTACTCTATAATACGTCTTCCTTTTCTCAGATTAGTTTTCGAAGCTCCTGTATTACGTTTTACCAGTTTGGTTCTGTTCTATTTATGTATATGTGCGTGTTGACTTTTAGTTGCCTATCAGTTTCTTTCTTTCTTTATTATTTTTTTAATTTCTATTTAAAAAAAAAAAAGATTTATTCTTACATTAATTTCTTGAATTGGAGCTTCAAAGCTATACTTGTTTTAGTACCGGTTAATTAATCGTTTATTTCAAATCTTTCTCAAATTCTTTTTCCTTCCTTACGGAATAATCGTTTTCCTCGAAATTGTTGATAGTCAAACAAGTTGACTATCGTCAAAGAAAGACTACACCTTCAAAGCTTCTTTATCGTCTTCGATTTTGAGGTGTTGGCTCTTTGGTTTGGTGAACTTTCTTTCCAACTCTCTTCTGGAATTCTTCATTTCATCACCTTATATAATTTTTCAGTCTCTTTCATTTTCTGTTCTGAACCGTTCGTTCAATTGATTTCAATTTTGTATTTTTGGGTTCGGCAAATAATAAAGATTTTTTTTTTTTTAATCCAATTATGTACGTCCGTCTTTTGATGGCCGTATTTGTTTTTATGCTCACAAGCATATATTGAAGAGCGCAGTAGATGAATTTGACCTTTTCAATTATGAGCTCATTATTTGTTCTTTTTCGGTATATATATATATATATATATATATATTTTTTTTTTTTTTTTTTTGTGGTTGAGTTTCAGTTGGTGTAATAATTTTTTTTTTTTAGAGTATATGCTGTTGACTCTTATTCTATTTTTGTGTATATTATGTTTTGGTTTGCAGACAAATTGATTGCGAGGATGTTGGAGAAGATGGAAACTATCGATATAGATCAAGTGATAGAGGAATTTGAAACAATCACAAAAGATGCTGAGAAGATTCAGAGAGAGACCCTGAAAAAGATTTTGGAAGAAAATGGATCAGCTGAGTACTTACAAAATCTTGGTCTCAATGGAAGAACAGACCCTGAAAGTTATAAGGCTTGTGTTCCACTTGTTTCTCATACGGACCTGGAACCTTATATTCGGCGAATTGCTGATGGTGATACTTCACATATCCTCACTGGCAAGGCCATAACAACGATATCGTTAAGGTACATACTTTCAATAAATTTGTTATTGTTTCATGAGTTAAATTAAAGTTTAGCTTTACTTTTCTGGGGAATTTTGTGTTATTGCAGTTCTGGAACCACTCAAGGAAAGCCTAAATTTGTACCCTTTAATGAGGAGTTGATGGAAACCACCATGCAGATATTTCGGACCTCTTTTGCCTTTAGAAACAAGTACTTTTTTAAAATATTGCTTATCTTTCTATTTTCCATGGTGTTACAAAAGTGTTTTGGTTGTTTGCTAGAGATGGATTGTGCTTTGATGAACCATATTAATTTTGGGTTAGTCACCCATGGGTTGTTAAACGTGAAAAGCTCTGCCTGTTTCTTGTTTTGTGTGATTGAAAGTATACCCTGGATTAATGAAAATACTTTATGACCTGCAGAGAGTTTCCCATTGGAAATGGGAAAGCCTTACAGTTTATATATAGCAGCAGGCAGTTCAAAACAAAAGGGGGTCTAAGTGCAGGAACTGCTACTACAAATGTCTACCGCAATGCACAGTTTAAAAGTGGGATGAAGGCAATGCAGTCCCAGTGTTGCAGCCCTGATGAAGTAATATTTGGTTCTGATTACCAGCAGTCCTTGTATTGCCATCTCCTATGTGGCCTAATCTTTTGCGAAGAAATTCAACTTGTGTTTTCAACCTTTGCCCACAGCATTGTCCATGCCTTCCGGACATTTGAAGTAGTTTGGGAAGAGCTATGTGCTGACATACGGGAAGGTGTCCTCTCAAGTCGCATCACTGTCCCTTCAATTCGAGCAGCGATGTCCAAAATACTGAAGCCAAATCCTGAATTGGCTGATTTGATTCATAAAAGATGCTCAGGATTGAGTAATTGGTATGGATTAATACCAACACTTTTTCCTAGTGCGAAGTATGTCTATGGGATATTAACTGGGTCAATGGAGCCGTATCTGCAAAAGTTGAGGCATTATGCGGGGGACCTGCATCTTATGAGTGCTGATTATGGTTCTTCAGAAGGTTGGATTGGAGCAAATGTCAATCCAAGTTTGCCTCCTGAGTCGGCCACTTATGCTGTGCTTCCTAATATAGGATATTTTGAATTCCTCCCTCAGAATGTTGAGGATCAGGTACTCTGACTGGAGCCCAAGCCAGTGGGTTTGACTGAAGTCAAGGTTGGCGAAGAGTATGAAATAATTGTCACAAATTTTGCAGGTAAAAAAGTTGTTGACAAGAATAATTTCTTGCTTTAAATTCAATGATTTAGAATCAGAATTGCTCTTAAAACTTCAGCAACTAACAGTAAGCCGCATCCAGTATATATTTTAGCGTTTTAAGACACTGGTAGAGATTGACCATTATGCTACCATAACTTTGATTAATGATGAATTTATTGTGTTGTTTATTATGTGTTATTTCCTTCAGCCTTTACATAGTAACATCATGCTTGACTAAACTAGCAGTCATTTAATAAGCATCTTGAAAACACAACCTTGATTATGCTCAGAGATTATAGGAATAAAATTGCAGCTTCTATCGTGATGAAGTACTACTCATTTCCGTTCTGTAATGCTTTTTTGTATATTATTTTGATATCATGCTGCGTCAGAAATAAGATTATATATATGCTAGTTGACATACCCGAACTGACTGAAATACATGCATCTCTTATTGTATAAACTACAGATAAAACACAACATATTTGGTTAATAACTATAGCTTTTTCTAGGTGTTGGTGACTTGTTAGGTCCTCCATGCTCCCCATGTAAATGACAGCAATAGGAAACATAATTTCTCTTCTCAAGAAGATCCATGTGTATTCTGACATCAAGCTCACTCTATTATTTATTTTTGACATAAAACTGCGTTATCTGTATCTAGTTACAATTTCTATGTAGATGCAGAAGCAATCTTTTGAAGTAGATAAAATTCATTTGTTCAATGTGCTTACTATTACTTTATAAAATACACACACATACACACATTTTAATGTTTACTTGTACATTATTTGATTGACTAGTTTTTCTCTAATTCCTTGTGAAGTTAGTCTTCATGGCACATTTGTCTCTTGATTTTCACATCTTAGTGGGTTCTTAAGAAAAGCATTCGAGAAGGATTTGACCAAACACATGAATAATTTATATAATCTGTATATTTATGGTGCTGTATTCTTTGTGGAGAAAACAAGGACTAGGTGAATAATTTTAGTAGTTTTTTGTCTATTAGGCATTTTTAACGTGTGAGGAGAAAGTTTCAGTTGGGCCATGTAAAAGAGAAGCAGCTTAGCTCATCTATGATATAAAAAGCACAGACCTAAAAATATTAAGATAAAATCGTAGTAGTTTGTAATAGGTGGATCTTTTCTTTAATTGTTGGCAACTGATGGATCCGCAGGTGGTACTAATTTCTGAATTTTCAAATCTAGGTCTTAACCTAGTCTGCTTTATATATTCTGCAATACAATTTCATAGTTTCATGTTAACTGTTCAGCGACTTTTATTTGTTATTCCCACTCTGAAGTTGCACTATGCCATTGTGTTAAATCTGGAATCCTGTTTCTATCCATAAACTGCAGGTTTGTATCGTTATCGACTAGGAGATGTGGTGAAGGTTATGAGCTTCCACAACTCAACCCCGGAACTCAAATTTGTCTGCAGGAGTAACCTGTTACTCACCATAAACATAGACAAGAACACTGAAAAAGACTTGCAGCTATCTGTGGAAACTGCAGCCAAGCTCTTAGCTGAAGAGAAACTTGAAGTGCTTGACTTCACAAGCCATGTTGATGTATCAACAGATCCTGGTCACTACGTAATTTTCTGGGAAATTAGTGGTGATGCAAGTGACGAAGTCTTGAAAGAATGCTGCAATTGTTTGGACCGATCATTTGTCGATGCAGGCTATGTTAGTTCGCGGAAGGTTAATGGCATAGGACCTCTTGAGCTCCGAATTGTTCACAAGGGAACCTTCCAGAAAATCCTAGATCATTATGTCGCATTAGGCTCTGCTCTTAATCAGTTCAAAACCCCGAGGTGTGTAGGAACCATCAACAATGCGGTGTTGCAAATCTTAGCTGACAATGTTGCCAAGAACTACTTTAGTACTGCTTTTGGTTGAATGTATGAAATGGAACTTCAATTTGATCATGCTTTCCTATAGAATAATGCAATCTGTTATTATAGCTTTCTTGTTCCATTGGAATCTTTTATCTAGTATATACCTCTTGTATATAAAGCCAGAATAATGTCATAGGTTATTGCATTTATAGACTCAGTCAAACAATTGCTCTTGTTTGATTCCTTGTCTCGCCGAAGCTATCCTAGCTCCCTGATTCATTCACCGAAAAACAGACAAATCAATTGACAAAGTAAAAGTAAGAAAGATGGTAAGATTTGAACACTAGATTCAATGGAGTTAAGAACTGCCCTTTTAATGATGGAGTGGATAAAGGAGGACCACTTAAATGTGGACCATCTCTTTGATGGAGACAAGGACAATTTATCTGTGAAACAAGTGGGTTTATGACCTTGTCTGAATTTTCTCCTTTCACATTGAGTGGCCCTTGTGTTTCTGATCTATATTTTATGATCGTGTTACATAAATCATAGTTAGCTTTCGTGTCAATTCAGGCACTTATTCACAGTCACAGCAGTTTGGCTGTGAATTGTAAACGATGGAAGTCAATTCATACCACTTTCTTCCTTATTGGGTGTGAGTGGTAGCTAAGCTTAACTCCATGAACCAGAGAAAATCCATCTGGGAACTTCAATTAATGAGAGGGGATTAGAGTTTAGAAGCACAAAATACTTTTTTCTTTTTTAATTTTCTTGAAATGTTATACTCAAAATATGTGAAGCTAAGCAAGAATTATGGTCGTTTAGTTTAATTATTTTTGCACTATCCTATCCAAATACATATTTGTTTCTCTATTTTGAAAATTTTATTTTATTTTATTCAATTATTTTTAAACCACCTAAATTTGTTAATTTAACTAAACAAAAAAAAAAAGTTTAGAAATTGACAAAAAACACCCACACCCACCCACATTTTCCAGATTTCGGTCATTACCATTAGAAGGTGGTCGAAATCTAGTATAATGACGCACTATCGGTTGGATCTGGCTGGTAGTGCACCGATATATCATTTTTTGGCCAGATCTACGACCAGATCTTTGGCCGTATCTGGTCGTCAATGACAGCCAAGATTTGGCCATCGTTGACGGCCAAACATGGCCAAATCTGGTTTTTTTAGCCCCATCTCTGCCAGATTCAACCAGTCATACGTCGATACGACTTCGGCCACCCTCCAATGGTGGTGGTCGACTATCGGTACTCAATAGGTTGGTAAGAGTGTTTTTGTAATTTTTAATATTTTTATTACAAGGATGTTTAATAAATTAACAAACCTAGAGGGTGTTTTGTTAATTTTTAAATCTTATCTCATGATTACCACTAAACTCTTGCTTTTTCAAAAATACTATCACTGATGATATTCTAGAGTAATTAAATAGGAGGATCTGCTTAGCTAGGATCAATTTAGTTATCTTGTGACCAACAGAAACCCAGAAAACAAAGATGGGGTTTGTTCAGTTGCAGACCTAGTCAGCTCCATTATATCCACAAAAACTAACATGATGAGGTTTCGCTTTGATTTAATTATATTGATTGGTGAGAATAATGGTAGTAGTTGGTGGAGCGGGTGAAGTATGTATAATAATTTTGGGATATTAAAGAAGTTTCTTTGTTAATAAATTTTTTGGTCAATGTCATTAAATGGTATATTTTAGAGGATAGAATCTTTAAATTTATTTCTTTCAAACCAAATATGTCCACATGATTTGATTTTTCAAAACCATCTATTAAAACATATATATATATATTATTTCACAAGAAGATTTGTTATTTTTTATTTTTGGCCTCCCAATACAGTATTAATTTTAAAACAAACTAATCAATCGTTAAATGCATAGAGTCTAGAATGAATAGAGCTTTCTCTTAATAGAATTTTGACATTTAAAATGTCATAAAACTTCAAAATGAATTAAACAAGCGTATTTAGAATGTGCAGCAAATTATTTATAATATTTAATGAATGGATCTGTCATTTTCTTCGCCGAACTCGGCAGCACAATTATTTATTGATTTCTTCTGTGTCATAAAGACAGTCTTAACCCAAAAACTCACATATTGCATTCGTCAACCTTATGGCGAAACTGGGAATTTCAGGTTCATAACTTCTGGCAAATCTGGAACTGCATAGTTAAGTTAGCTAACTTATAAGGTACATGTGATATGCGTCATGACGAGAATCTCCGTATTTGGAAGCAAAAGAAATGTTTGTCGGTCGTGTCTGCATTGAAAACTCATTAAGCCAATCTTGACAAAAGCAACAGAAGAGATAACTCTGAAACCCAGATGAAAGAAACATTAGAAGGCAGAGAAAATATTGAAGAAGAAGAAGCAACAGTAGCGATATGGGATTGTGGTAGCCCTTTATATGATTCATATGAGCTGGTATCGCTTACTCATCTAATTGAGCGACATCTAATGGCATTGCCATCTCTCGGCGGATCAAAGAGGCTTACCACCAAATTTTACTGTCCCTGTGATGTATCATCCAACGTGCGCTCCATAACGCATACTAAACCTCCGTCTTCTTCTGCAATCAGTTCGTTGAGTGATTATGTGGGCAGAAAGTTGTTGAAGAGGAAGATTGGAGTTGGAGAAGTGATTGATAAGCGCAAGAGGTTGAAAATACTCTGTGGCATGTATAAAGCATTTGGATTTTGGAAGAAAAAGAAATACAGTGGCTAAAACAGGTAATTGATACTGACGGAGAATATGGCACAAACAATACATGTTGGTATTTTTCTTTAATCTTACATTCTGTCTTAGCATATATCGATAAATAATCTCAAATGAATTATGGCAATCATGCACATTTGTTCATAATCATATAATTTGCATTCAATATGTTGTTGTTATGGATGATATCACGTTCATTTAGCAATCTAAATCCTTGAATGAAGAGCAGTGGTTTGTATGAAGGATCTAATTAACGATTCGTTCTGATATTTTCTTTACCCTTGTAATGGTCAAGCATATCAAAGTCTCATGAAGTGACAACTCATCCACCAAACTAGACTATTTATTTATTATTTGTTATTAGATATCAAACTATGAACATGAAATAGTTGTTAGACTTACGAAGTTGGTTCATCCAAACATGGATTAAAACGATTTCCTGTCCTTTTTCTGAGAAAATAATGGAGTGATAATTGACGATGAACCAGAATTAATTGCAATTCAGATACAAGAATTTATTTTTGGGTCTGAGATAATTTAAAGATTTGAAGCAGAACTGTCATTAAACCAGTCCATGTCAACCCGATACTCAATAATTTTTAGATGAGCAGTATTGCGTATCACATCATTGAAATAACTTCAATAAAAGCTTCCAGTTAGGTGGGCGATAACAAGTGAAAGAAGTACAGTGCAGTTTTTGGCTTGATTATATTAATAGATAGCCCTCAAAGGTAGGTATTGGTTGTCCGCCGTGGAAAATTCTAATGTTTAGTGTACTTCCAATGTGGAAAACACCAGTCCAGTCAACCAAGTGGAAATCGACCAATGCTCATTTGCACGCCATGTTTCACGTTAATCTGCTAGTGTGTGGATCTGTAGAGCTCACTAGTCACCACCATTCGAAACTTCAACTTCAACCTTCTGGGTTGCATGACAAAGAAATGTCTGTCTTTTCGACTAAGATCCATTATTTATGCCCAAAATACAGCCCATTTATTACACTTGAGCCGTTTACAATATTTCTGGGCTTAGTCTTATTTTGCGTTTGGGGAAATAGTAGTTGGGTCTGGGCCGATTCCTCCAGGAATGCATCATAAACAAACTCAGCAAGTAGTTTCTTTAATCGGATACAGCCTTTTACAGGTCACGCTTCTGTAATTTACTCTTTTAAGACTGGGCCAAAGTTCCAACCTCCAACTGCATGTTAAAAAAAGTTTGAGACGACTGAGTTTAATGCAATTTAATAAGTTGATAGCAATTATCCAGTTATTAATATGCCAGCAAATGAGATTCCAATGCTTTAAACTTGAAATTACCCACCTTCTCGTTTACGTCCCTTTAGCTTGTATCTCCAGAATAACCTGTGAAGATCTTTAAATATTTATTATGGACCTTAATTAGTACTATTCAGTATGGAGACTGCAGTATTTGAATTTTGAAGAGAGTATGATAAATATTCTACTTGCATTGAAAAGTCTTCACAGGTTACTTTGGAAAATCACAAAGCAACAGGCGATCCTTTTAACAGAATTTTTTATTTTTTATTTTTTTTTTAAAAAAAAAGGTCTTCTTCATTTATTCTTGGTTTAGCCCCAGCAGGCCAGCACGTAGCTTGAGTACCTAATTTTCTGTTCCTGTTAATGAAGTTTTTATTTATGCTACTGACTGAATAACCATCTTCTGATCAGATGCAATCTTTATTGAAACTCAATGCACCGTAGCTTGAAATCTTTTGATTATAAATGTCTGTTTTTTTTTTGGGTTGGGATTAATCTTGTCTATAGCAGTTGAAAAATAATTATTAGCAGTACTACAAACGTAAACACGTTAGTTGCAAGGATTATTCACAAACCTTTTTAAAGTAATGTCCAATAAGCTTAAAAACTAATGAAGCTACAATAAAAACATTATGAAGTTGGTGTATAAAAATGTAGCATTTATGACCCCAATAAAGGAATTTCTCAAGCGCAAGCAGCAATTATTATGTTTATGTTTCACAAAATTACAACTTCAGTTATAGTTATAATTAGAAAATCATAATACCCAACTAATCTTTAACTAATTAAGATACACTCATTACTCGTACCCACAACTCTGTTCAAAAATCAAAACAGAAACAAGATCCACTTAACTTAATGGATATTAAAATGTCTCAAAATCTGACAACTGCAGAATCCAATTCACCAACTCATATAGTTGTATTTAAATTTCAAGAAAAACAAGGGGAGGTGAGGTAGATATAGAGCATTTAAGTACTCATTTCTGAAACGTTCATCATTCAATTCTGTGCTGTAAAACAAGAGAGAGATGAGTGTGATTTTGTTTCGTAGCAGCAAACAGTAAATGTTTGATATGTGATGTGAGAGAGAATTGAGTAATTACTGATGAGGTAATAGTAAGAGAGCAGGGGCCACTGGTCAGACTGAGACCACTGAGAGAAAGAGGAGTCTCAGATTTTCTTTCGACGCTGCTTCTTTCACTTCTTTTCACAACGGCCAAAACTATGCTTTTTTTCTCACTAGTCGCAAACAATAAACCTGTAAAGCAAAAACATGGATCGACTAAAGATAAAGGCAGCTAAATATATATCAGTCTAAAGAAAAAGAAAACTACCTCCCTCTGTCCCTGCCTAATTTCCACCGAACCTCTTTACTTTGCTTCTTCCAATCATTTTTATATTATTATTTATTTTAAAGTTGGGGAAATGGGGCCAAGGGAAGCAACAAAATGTGTAGTGCTGGTAGTATTTGTGCATGGAAAAAAGTCTCCAATTCACTTTACCTTTTTCTTCCAGTTCAGACAGTGGATTCCCAACAAGACTTTTTATTCTGTATCCAAAGGCCCAATGGCTTGTTTGAAACGATTTCTTCATTCAAACGACATCGTTTCTTTGGATTTTTCTTTTTCTAGAGACTTGTCCTGCCAACAGCCAATATCAATGCCCAGAGCCAGAACATTGGAAAACGGAACTAGGTCTCTCCCTTACAAAACTCTAACCAACGCAACAGAGTATAAACTCAGTTTACTCAGAACACAAACCATTCTCGAATAGAATTTCAGTTCAGTTTTTCAATAAATTCTAGGTTCTTGTCTATGTGTTCCGGATAATTCTCTTCTCTTCCCTTCATCTCTCAATCTTAGTTTCCTCTTTGGTCGGGGAGAAAACTGAAGAAAAAAGTTTTAACATTTTTCTTCTATCCTTGCACTATATTTTCTCATTTCCCTCTAATCACATTATTCAGCTTCTTTGAAGGAAAAAAAAAAAAAGCAGAAGCATTGAAATAGTACCCAATTGATCTCAGTAAGCCAACATTCTCCTTGAAATTACTTTACTTTTGGTATTATCTTATAAATTTCCAAGTTTGAAAGGGACGGCTGTGTTTGATTTATTGGATTTGTTTGTTAAGGGTATATCTGGTCTTGTAGTTTACTGGGTCGTCGTTTACTTTCAAACTATTTATTGAATGATAGTACGATGGCCGAGTCAACCAAAGTAAGGTTGGTTCGGTGTCCAAAGTGTGAGAATCTCCTTCCAGAACTTGAAGATTATTCTGTGTATCAATGTGGTGGTTGTGGTGCTGTTCTTCGATGTAAGCTTTTTTTATTTTTCGCTTTATTGCAGCTTGATTAATTTATAAAGTTTGTATTAGTAGTTGTTGAAAAAAGTTGTTTTATTTTGTGTTCATGAATATGGGAAGAAACCGACCTAGCTAGTTTTCTATGTTTAAACTCAAAACCCCAGAAAACGTAGAATTTAGAAGAGCAATTAGGTTGAGATTTTTAATTTTACGAATTCAAAATAAATAAGAAGATTTAGGGTTTAGTGCTTCAATTTCTTTGCTTTTCTTGTGCTATTTTGTTATAAATGATTCTTCCCCATAGTTTTTGAGAGTCGGTGTTTTTGTTTATGTAATTCACAGCGAAAATTAAAAATCGGGAGGCTGACACTTTATCTGAGAAGTCGGAAGAAGAGAAGATTGCAGAAGTTACCACAAAATCCTCTAATTCCTCTGAAAAGGAAATAGCGGACTTGAGTGATACTTCTGATACAGATAAGTCAAATTCTGGTTCTTTGAGGTGTGATCAAAGGGTCTCAGAGAAGAATGATTTTGAACTTGCTGACAGATGTACAAATCAATCTAAGGTTACTAATGACAATTTGGGTGTTGAGCGTGGCCTTGATGTGAACACGAAGAAAGATGAAACAGATAATGCAATAGGAATCCAAAGTAGGAATCTGAATTCTCGAATTGGATATACAGGTGGTTCCCAAAGATCAGGACGGATGTCAGATTGGCAAACTGGAGAGAGAAGTGAGGTGGAAGGATCTCGCAGAACCACCAGAATTGATGTTGGAGGTGTAAGGTTTCCGTCTTCAAGTTATCCTGATGAGGGCCCGTCAAATTACCATTCAGATTCTTCTTACAGTTACAGGGAGCCATTAAGGAATCGTTTTGGTTTGGATGGGGCTAATAGAGTTCAGTACCTTCAAAAAGATCGAGTTGAGCTTCTGAGGAAGCTAGATGAGCTTAAGGAACAGCTTAGTCGGTCTTGTGACGTGGCAGATAAACCAAAGGAGAAAGTTCCTGTTGATGGGAGGATAGTTCCTCCAGATCCTTATGGTGGTTCTGATTCCTGGCTTCCAAATGGTTCTTTGGGATCAGAGAGGTCTTCAATGCCTCTTTCGGGGCCTGATAAACATGTTGCAGGGCCTTCTTATTTCAATCATGGCCCTGATCCATTTCCTTATACAAATGGCCATGAAATGCCTCTGCATGGTTTACATCCTTCAATACATAACCCAAATCATGTTCCTGGGTATGGGGATTCCTTTGGATCCCAAATGCTCAGGCGAGTGTCCCACCAGCTGCCCAGTCAATACCAACCACCACCATCTCATCCATACTTTTCGGGACAATATGTTGATACAAATCATGATCGTTTTGAGTCATACCAGCAAAACACAATCTTTCACCAGCCTCCCTGCTCTTGTTACCATTGCTATGACAAAAATCAACGGGTTTCAGCTCCAGTTCAACCCACTGCTTTTGGCAACAAACCGACTAATTCTATGTTGTACCATCATGAGATTCCAGAGGCATTTGGTCCACGTGTTCATAATTTTAGGGCTGCTGTTCCTCCATCAAATTTGCACGGTCCACAAGCCCACACAAGATGGCCAAGTGACCTTAATTCCGAAATGGGTGGTTTTGTTCGCTGCTGTCCTCGGAGGGTGGTTTTAGCCAGTGGTGGCCACCGTTGCCGTCCAATAGCTGGTGGTGCCCCATTTTTAATGTGCAATAATTGCTTTGAGCTACTGCAACTGCCCAAAAAAGAAAAGCTTATGGCTAAAAATCAGCAAAAATTGCAGTGTGGAACATGTTCTTCAATTATCAATTTTGAAGTCATCGATAAGAAACTTGTTCTTTCTGCTCAAGCTGAAACAAAACAGACTGCAGCAGAGGTTGATTATAGCTCTAGTGAGGCAGTGAAAGACTATATTTCACATTCCCGTGGCCATTTGGACCACAGTAGAGCTAATTTCTCTTCTGATGATTATGATAACTCTGGTTATGACTTTGAGGCAATGGATAGAGAGCCTGTTCCATTGTCAACAGGCAAAGTTTTGAACTTAGGCAAGCCTCAGGAGATGCAAAGCTTCCATTCTTCATCTCCTAGTACTTCTGGAGATGAAACTAGTCCAGAGGTTTTAATTGCTCAAAAAGAGGTCACAAACTCTATTCAGCAGCCTATTAATACCACCCTGTCTCCACCACCTGCTGGTTCACCACTTCAAGAGCATTTTGAGTATTCTTCTAATAATCATGCTGTTAATAGATTTGGAAAGGGGAACAGAAGTAGTCGCTCTGATCAAGAGAAATCGATACCGAACATGGTTACCACGAGACAAAATTCATTAAAAGAGGCATCATTGGCAACTGAGATGGAGGTATCATTAAATGAGTACTCTAATACTGTGATGTCACAAGATTCAGGGGATGCAATCAGAGAAGATGATATGCCTAGAAACAACAAAGGGGGTGAATCGTTTTTCGCAAATATTTTCAAGAAGAGCTTCAAAACCGAAGAGCGTGGCAAAAGTAATGTTTCTGTGAATGGGCATATTATACCAGACCGTGTGGTTAAGAAGGCCGAAAAGTTGGCTGGACCAATTCATCCTGGACAATATTGGTAAATATGCCCATACATTCATCTGTTCATTTAAATGATATTCCAACTTGGCATGCTATAATGAGGTTTAGCGATGGACCTATATACATCAATCCCATGCACACAAGTGGGGGAAATATTGGTTTAATTTCTTTGGGTTCTATATTGATCTAATATAATTTCATTAACATTATAGACTTCTAAATAATTCTTTTAAGTGGAAATTAAACATTCTTTCAATCATATAATTCACTGTTTTGCTAGGTGCTCAAATATGGAGCAGCATACTTATTTCTCATGTATCAATTCCGCTGACGGGTTTCTTGTTTCTTGTGTCTGAACCAGGTATGACGTCCGAGGTGGATTTTGGGGTATCATGGGCGGGCCTTGTCTTGGCATAATTCTTGTAAGATTGATTAATTCTGACACATTTATTAGTGCATGGTGTTTGGTTTTTTTCTCCTAAATTATCTCTAACTAAAAAAAAAAAAAAATTGTAAAAAATTGTCATTCTTTTGCAGCCATTCATTGAAGAACTCAACTATCCCATGCCAGAAAACTGTGCTGGTGGAAATACTGGAATTTTTGTCAATGGAAGAGAACTTAACCAAAAAGATTTGGATTTGCTTGCTCGGAGAGGACTTCCAACTGACAGGGATATAATCATACTATTGCACCGAGTCAACCAAAGTAAGGTTGGTTCTGTGTCCAAAGTGTGAGAATCTCCTTCCAGAACTTGAAGATTATTCTGTGTATGAATGTGGTGGTTGTGGTGCTGTTCTTCGATGTAAGCTTTTTTTATTTTTCGCGTTATTGCAGCTTGATTAATTTATAAAGTTTGTATTAGTTGTTGTTGAAAAAAGTTGTTTTATTTTGTGTTCATGAATATGGGAAGAAACCGACCTAGCTAGTTTTCTATGTTTAAACTCAAAACCCCAGAAAACGTAGAATTTAGAAGAGCAATTAGGTTGAGATTTTTAATTTTACGAAATCAAAATAAATAAGAAGATTTAGGGTTTAGTGCTTCAATTTCTTTGCTTTTCTTGTGCTATTTTGTTATAAATGATTCTTCCCCATAGTTTTTGAGAGTCGGTGTTTTTGTTTATGTAATTCACAGCGAAAATTAAAAATCGGGAGGCTGACACTTTATCTGAGAAGTCGGAAGAAGAGAAGATTGCAGAAGTTACCACAAAATCCTCTAATTCCTCTGAAAAGGAAATAGCGGACTTGAGTGATACTTCTGATACAGATAAGTCAAATTCTGGTTCTTTGAGGTGTGATCAAAGGGTCTCAGAGAAGAATGATTTTGAACTTGCTGACAGATGTACAAATCAATCTAAGGTTACTAATGACAATTTGGGTGTTGAGCGTGGCCTTGATGTGAACACGAAGAAAGATGAAACAGATAATGCAATAGGAATCCAAAGTAGGAATCTGAATTCTCGAATTGGATATACAGGTGGTTCCCAAAGATCAGGACGGATGTCAGATTGGCAAACTGGAGAGAGAAGTGAGGTGGAAGGATCTCGCAGAACCACCAGAATTGATGTTGGAGGTTTAAGGTTTCCAACTTCAAGTTATCCTGATGAGGGCCCGTCAAATTACCATTCAGATTCTTCTTACAGTTACAGGGAGCCATTAAGGAATCGTATTGGTTTGGATGGGGCTAATAGAGTTCAGTACCTTCAACACGATCGAGTTGAGCTTCTGAGGAAGCTAGATGAGCTTAAGGAACAGCTTAGTCGGTCTTGTGACGTGGCAGATAAACCAAAGGAGAAAGTTCCTGTTGATGGGAGGATAGTTCCTCCAGATCCTTATGGTGGTTCTGATTCCTGGCTTCCAAATGGTTCTTTGGGATCAGAGAGGTCTTCAATGCCTCTTTCGGGGCCTGATAAACATGTTGCAGGGCCTTCTTATTTCAATCATGGCCCTGATCCATTTCCTTATACAAATGGCCATGAAATGCCTATGCATGGTTTACATCCTTCAATACATAACCCAAATCATGTTCCTGGGTATGGGGATTCCTTTGGATCCCAAATGCTCAGGCGAGCGTCCCACCAGCTGCCCAGTCAATACCAACCACCACCATCTCATCCATACTTTTCGGGACAATATGTTGATACAAATCATGATCGTTTTGAGTCATACCAGCAAAACACAATCTTTCACCAGCCTCCCTGCTCTTGTTACCATTGCTATGACAAAAATCAACGGGTTTCAGCTCCAGTTCAACCCACTGCTTTTGGCAACAAACCGACTAATTCTATGTTGTACCATCATGAGATTCCAGAGGCATTTGGTCCACGTGTTCATAATTTTAGGGCTGCTGTTCCTCCATCAAATTTGCACGGTCCACAAGCCCACACAAGATGGCCAAGTGACCTTAATTCCGAAATGGGTGGTTTTGTTCGCTGCTGTCCTCGGAGGGTGGTTTTAGCCAGTGGTGGCCACCGTTGCCGTCCAATAGCTGGTGGTGCCCCATTTTTAATGTGCAATAATTGCTTTGAGCTACTGCAACTGCCCAAAAAAGAAAAGCTTATGGCTAAAAATCAGCAAAAATTGCAGTGTGGAACATGTTCTTCAATTATCAATTTTGAAGTCATCGATAAGAAACTTGTTCTTTCTGCTCAAGCTGAAACAAAACAGACTGCAGCAGAGGTTGATTATAGCTCTAGTGAGGCAGTGAAAGACTATATTTCACATTCCCGTGGCCATTTGGACCACAGTAGAGCTAATTTCTCTTCTGATGATTATGATAACTCTGGTTATGACTTTGAGGCAATGGATAGAGAGCCTGTTCCATTGTCAACAGGCAAAGTTTTGAACTTAGGCAAGCCTCAGGAGATGCAAAGCTTCCATTCTTCATCTCCTAGTACTTCTGGAGATGAAACTAGTCCAGAGGTTTTAATTGCTCAAAAAGAGGTCACAAACTCTATTCAGCAGCCTATTAATACCACCCTGTCTCCACCACCTGCTGGTTCACCACTTCAAGAGCATTTTGAGTATTCTTCTAATAATCATGCTGTTAATCGATTTGGAAAGGGGAACAGAAGTAGTCGCTCTGATCAAGAGAAATCGATACCGAACAAAGTTACCACGAGACAAAATTCATTAAAAGAGGCATCATTGGCAACTGAGATGGAGGTATCATTAAATGAGTACTCTAATACTGTGATGTCACAAGATTCAGGGGATGCAATCAGAGAAGATGATATGCCTAGAAACAACAAAGGGGGTGAATCGTTTTTCGCAAATATTTTCAAGAAGAGCTTCAAAACCGAAGAGCGTGGCAAAAGTAATGTTTCTGTGAATGGGCATATTATACCAGACCGTGTGGTTAAGAAGGCCGAAAAGTTGGCTGGACCAATTCATCCTGGACAATATTGGTAAATATGCCCATACATTCATCTGTTCATTTAAATGATATTCCAACTTGGCATGCTATAATGAGGTTTAGCGATGGACCTATATACATCAATCCCATGCACACAAGTGGGGGAAATATTGGTTTAATTTCTTTGGGTTCTATATTGATCTAATATAATTTCATTAACATTATAGACTTCTAAATAATTCTTTTAAGTGGAAATTAAACATTCTTTCAATCATATAATTCACTGTTTTGCTAGGTGCTCAAATATGGAGCAGCATACTTATTTCTCATGTATCAATTCCGCTGACGGGTTTCTTGTTTCTTGTGTCTGAACCAGGTATGACGTCCGAGGTGGATTTTGGGGTATCATGGGCGGGCCTTGTCTTGGCATAATTCTTGTAAGATTGATTAATTCTGACACATTTATTAGTGCATGGTGTTTGGTTTTTTTCTCCTAAATTATCTCTAACTAAAAAAAAAAAAAATTGTAAAAAATTGTCATTCTTTTGCAGCCATTCATTGAAGAACTCAACTATCCCATGCCAGAAAACTGTGCTGGTGGAAATACTGGAATTTTTGTCAATGGAAGAGAACTTAACCAAAAAGATTTGGATTTGCTTGCTCGGAGAGGACTTCCAACTGACAGGGATAGGTCTTACATCATTGAGATTTCTGGGAGAGTTGTGGATGAGGACACTGGAGAAGAACTCGACAGTCTTGGCAAACTTGCTCCAACGTAAGAATCTTTTATATGTTGATTGCTTTAAATATTAAAATATTGCTATTAATTGCTTTTCCAGTACCTTCTATATCTGTCCACTGTACCATCCTATCTATCGCCTGTAGCTCCAAATGTTGTGACAACATAGATTTTGCCCATTTATTTGGGAGCCATATGGAAATAAAAATAGCAGCCTCGCACATTCAGAGTTGAGTGTCTTAATTAATTTATACCAGGACAAGGTTACACATGGAGGAACGATCACTTCTGACTTTAATTCTGTTGTCCTAAGTGCATGATGAACTCATACATTGTCCTTATGAATACTTTGTTGTTAGATAATATTTAGAAGCATATTTCTAACGTGACATCATGAACAGAGTGGAGAAGGTACAGCATGGATTTGGCATGAAACCTCCTCGAGTGGCCGCACAGTGAAATTTTAAAGATCATAAACTTTTAATGGCGATTCAGAGCTGTTGAAGGAATCAAGCAATTTGGTGTAGAGTCAATTGGAAAATTCATTGAGACGAGTTACAATGTTTTCTAGGGATTCTGGATGATACAATATTTGCATGGTTGGTAAACCCTGATACATGTAAGCTATTTCTTTTAAGTTTCATATTTAGTTTATTTGAGGTTTTCTGGTGGTTAATGTTGCACAATCAAAGTGCTGGTTTGGTAAATTTTGCATTTGTATATGAACCGTGTAATTTTCCCACAAATTTTCATAGTTACTAAATGGTTTTTCCATGTTCTATTAAGTTGAGGGTACGAATGAATATATGCCAAGTGGTAGGTTGGAGGCAATCATTGTGTATGAGGAACACAGGGATACAAATCTCTCTTTCTATTAGGGTTGGCCCACCTGCAAAAGCGACGACCGGTAGTGGACCTCATTTGTGGGTACTGTGTACTTGCCACTAGTCGGCCCTCTTTAAATTGCCTTCTTACGCTCGGCCCTGTCCAATAATGGCCTGCTGGTCTGGCTTGCTGCCCGTAAATCTAAATCATAATGTTTACGTACCGAATGTTTTTGATATTATTTCCAATAAAAAATATAGGCTCCCTAGGTACACTTTTTTTAATAATAAGATAAGATAAGATTTGTTCGAACGTGTAGGATTTTGAGAATATGTTTGATACATTTTTTTAAAATATTTTCTAAAAATATTTAAATTATTTTTTATTTGGTAATTTAATTAAACACATATTCACAGATAAAAGTTTATAGATTAACAAAAACACTTCATCTATCCAATTGATTGTCGATAGCCATCATCGGGCGATGGCTCGTAGTTGTCAGAATAGTGCATGATTGGTTTGATCTGGCTGATCGTACGTCGATCTGACTGTTTCGGCCAAAGATTTGGTCATTGACTACAGTCAAATGCCAACTAAAAATCTAGTTGTCGTTGATGGTCGTCAACGATTGCAAAGATATGGTTGTCATTTGGCTGTTGTCATCCATGGATCTAGCCAAATAGACAAATCAGCGTATGATTCAGTCGATCGTGAGTTGTTCCAACACCGACGGTGATTGTTGGCGGGTAACTGTTGCTTGAGTATGTGAGGATGTTTTTATAAATTTATAAATTTTTATTGAGAAATATAATTGTTAAATATTTTGAGTTAAATAGAATACAGTTGGATTTTGAACAATCTTAAAACAAAAATTTTTATTTTTTATGACAAGATTTTAGAATAGAAGAGAGTTTAATAAGTTAAACAACTAGCCAAGACAAAGGGCTTAATTACTCTTTCGACCAAAAAAATAAAAAATAAACGCTCTTTTTGTTTGATTTTGACAAATTTGGTTGGTGGTTGAAATAGAAATTTGAACTGTATAGAATCTTAAAACAAGTAATTAAAAAAAGGTTAAAAAATCAATATGCCAGTTTTGTCCTATAGCCATAAAATAATTGTACAGTTTACATAGATCAGACCAATATCGAAAACCACGACAAGAACTTGCCAAAGAAAAAAAAAATGCTCTTCTTCAGAGCTTATGATTTAACAATTCAATGTTCTTGTTTAATCTTTCAACCTCATGTACCAGATGTTTGTTTAAATGTCCCAATCCACCTATCCTGCCCTGAAACCCAAACCTTGTTCAAATCATCATAGTGTATTTGAAGTTCCTTCTCCTAAATTAATTTGCCCCACTAGACTGACATAGACACTGTAACTTAAAACAAATATTGTTTAAAAAAAAAGTTGAAAATAATGCAAATATATCAGATCTAGACAGCTGTGAATTTGAGGAGATCTAAGGTGTGAAGGCAAAAGCAGGCCACGTGCATCAACATCTAAATAACTTCCCAACTTAGATCCAAAGCCTCAGACAGCATAAACTTCATTTTCAGTTTTAAATCACACTCATATTCTTTCCACTGGTGCATTTCTTAATCACTAATTAGCTGATTTAGTGTAATCAATAACCTTTTGTAAAAGTAATTTCTTGCCGGATTTAACATTTAACCGACAAAAGTCGCATCAATTTATGTTTATTCAAGCATAAGCTTCGTATCAATAATCTTTTAGTGTTGTTCATGATTACACCATACAGACACGACACGCCCTTTGTAATAAACACGTTACGCATTTTTAACTTAATCAAACTAATACTTCTTACATTTAGGTTGTTCCTTAATATCTGTTCTCTTCACTTCTTTCTTCTCTCTCTCTTCCCATTTTTGTATAGATTTTCTGGGTCTATCTTTATCTTACACCAAATGGTGAAGGAAATCAGGTTGGAGTTGAACCCATCATCACACTGTAAAAATAAACTCAATCATGTTATCCTAAAGCTTGTTATCTCGTTTTTGCTATTGGGCCTTGCTTTTCGTTTCCTTGTTTCTGATTCAATAGGATTTTCATCACTGGTTGAGACTCAACGGACTCAGACTCCTTTAGAAGACACCAACGCAGAGTCTCCTGAGACGTCTTTGCCTGCTCAAGAACCTGTTTCTGGTTATTATCAACCAAATAATGAAACTCAATTATCCAATAATGGTAAGAGAATATTGTTATAGTTTTCTTCTTTTCTATTTTTACTCTAAATTTTGAGGGGTCGGTGCTTTTTTTTTTTTTTTTTAGTTTTTACTTATTTTTTTTTCTTTTGAACTAAAGTCTTTTGAGGATCTAGAATGGATTTATTTTGATGAGTTCAAAGCTTTGCACGGGAAGGGAGTGAAAGTACTCGTTTGTGGGTTCACTTGTCTGGTTTTAGATTGACATCCAAATCTGCCATCTTCACTCTTCATTGAATATAGTATAACATTTTGTCTTTGCGAGCACAAATATAAAATTAGTAACTTGTATTTTAGATAGGAGTAATTTTTTTTGTATGGTGATTTCTCAAATCTTTGCATACTCGTACCTCCATTGAAAGATCTCTGTTTTTTGGTGGCTGATTCTATACACATAATGTTGTTGCAGCAAAATGTGATCTTTTTATCGGAGACTGGATACCGGACCCATCTGGTCCATTTTACAGTAACGTTACCTGCCGTGCAATTGAAAGTCATCAGAATTGTATGATGAATGGGAGACCTGATTCTGGATACCTTTACTGGAGGTGGAATCCACGAGATTGTGAATTACCCAGGTTCAATCCTGAGAGATTTCTTGATTTAATGAGGAATAAATCTTGGGCCTTTATTGGTGATTCAATTTCTCGCAACCATGTGCAGTCATTGCTTTGCATTCTTACTCAGGTATATTTTAAATTTTCAAAGAATAAAATGTAAGTTTAGCTGATTTTTCGGATTGACCTTTTGAGTTTACACTAATAGTTTGCATTCGTTTCCTCTGCTTATTTTTCTTTTTCATACCTAGGTACCGCAGTCATTGTTCAGTGTCTATGCATTTGTTGTTGACTCCAAATCAGTGAAAACAAAGTCTAACTTAGAAGGAAACTAAAAGCTAAAGCTCAAGTGTCATTTAATTCAAAATAATTGTTGAAAGTAATACTCTTTCTCCTTGTGACAGTTGACATGATTTCAATTGCAATAATCAGTGTTTGAAAACTACTAAGTTGGTTATTAATAAAAAATATTTGGTGTCAAAAAAGAGACTATATCCTATTCTTTTAATAGAAGGAATGACCAATCAAATATTCTTAGTTGTAGAAAATCACTTTCAGCATTTTATACTAGAATTATGTTTTAAGGAAGGAATCCCATAGTGACCTTATCTCTGAACTTTTTGTGCCGTTCTTGGGACTGGTCTCTAGAGCACCAAAGTTCTGCTAGTTTCTCTATCATTGCTAAGTTAATTGTTGGTACAAAAGTTAATGGCTTGTCAATAGTGAGTTGTATTTCCCATCTTAATTTTCTCCCTCGCTTTTGGTTATTTGGAGATTGTTAATTTAAGTCAATTTCATTATGGAGGGCAGCTGCTCCCATTAGGATTATCGAGTCTTTTGTGAGCTGTTTTCTGCGAAGAATTATTATCATTGCTTCAATTTCTAAGTCTTTTCTAAAACACTGGTGGTGATATATACATATTTTTCTTGTTGGTGGCCTGTGATTATTGGCATCTTTTTTTTTTTTTCGTTTGCATTCAGTAGACTGATAAAATGGAAAGTTACTTGGCATAAAACTTTAAACTATATTTCTATTTATTCAGACATGGTGGATGAGCAGTTTATGCAACTTCAATATAATCCCGACCCAGCTAGACCCCACGTACAATCCACAATCATTCGTTTTCTAAAGTGCTGGTGTGCTCTCATTAGGACCTACCACAACCTGATATGTTAATCTATCTCTCTGCAATTATTCTTGTTGTGTTGCCTTGTACTCTGTCAATCTTCAAAAAATGGTGTCATTGATAATTTATCATGTCCCACAGGTGGAGCAAGCTGACGAGGTTTACCATGATGAGGAATATAGATCTAAAAGATGGCACTTTCCTTCTCACAACTTCACCCTTTCGGTAGTTTGGACCCCATTCCTGTTGAGAGCTGATATTTTTGAAGACGTCAATGGAGTTTCCTCATCAGAAATCCAGCTCCATCTTGATCTACTTGATAAAAAATGGACGGAACAATACAAAAACTTTGATTACGTGATGATTGCAGGTGGGAAATGGTTTCTCAAAACTGCTATATACTATGAAAACAACACTGTACAAGGCTGCCATTACTGTCCTGGAAAGAATTTAACTGAGTTAGGATTTGACTATGCGTATCGTAAAGCACTCCAGCTAGTTCTTAGGTTTCTCACAAGATCTGATCACAAGGCATACGTTTTCTTTAGAACCACAACGCCCGATCATTTTGAGAACGGAGAATGGTTCAGTGGAGGGACTTGTAATAGAACCGTGCCCTTCAAAGAAGGTGAGGTGGATATGAGAGATGTAGATAGTGTTATGCGAGATATTGAATTGGAAGAAGTTGAGAAAGCTGTAGGTATAGGAGCTGAAAATGGGATTATTTTGAAATTATTAGATACAACTCGGCTTTCATTATTGAGACCTGATGGCCACCCAGGGCCATTTAGGCAATTTCAGCCATTCGCAAAGGATAAGAATGCCAAAGTTCAGAATGACTGTTTACATTGGTGCTTGCCTGGCCCAATTGACTCTTGGAATGATTTAGTAATGGAGATGATGGTGAATGATGGAATCTATAGATGATCATTATGCCAAGCTTATTAGGGATTTTAATTGAGATGCTGAGTTTATTTACATTTTTTATGAACATAGTAGAGATCTTTGGCGTTTCATCATATGGCAACAATAACTTTTTTCCCTGAAGGCTGAAGCTGCTGGGAGCTGTTAACATGCAAATGTACAATCCGTTTGGACAGAATCGTCGTAATTTGAAGTCAAAATTATCTGTAATTATATGATTCCATTAGGTTGTTCGATTCTCTGGCCATACACATACTGCTATATCAAATTCGAAGTAATTTACTTCACATGACCATAACATTTGTTTTATATGCCCGTTTACAAATGAATAATATTACACTTACAAAGTCCTCATACAAAGATGTGTGTACAAAGTGAGGTGTCATACTATGATTGGGAGAGTGAATTTGTAAAGTCAACTTTTTAACGAAAGTCAAATTCATTGTCCAATCATGGTATGACACATCACTTTGTACATATATCTTTGTATGGGGACTTTGTAAATGTAGTATTACTCTTTACAAATACTACAAAAACAAAACATGTTGCAACTTCATTTTTAACAATCTTGGATTGCAAAGGGCAAGCAGAAATCGAACTTAATTGAATTCATAAACACAAATTTAAAAAGTTAACAACAAAATAATGTAAATCTGCAAATTCAGCGGGACAGAGTTAATAAATAGGGCTGTTTCTGTTTACCTTCAAATACTCGTTTGAATACAAGTGCCTACTTCTGGAAATCTATTGGTAAATATCGTGTCACAACCAATTTGCCTTATCCTGGTCAGCGTCTTCAAAGAAATCAAAATAAACACTTTGCACCGAATAGGTTCTCGGCAACCAATTCACAGTTAAATGATAACACTGTGAACTAAGTTGCAGAATTGACAAGATATAAAACTCTAAACAAAAATGCTGTAATATCTAATTCAGAGATCAATTCAAAATAAAATGCCAGAATCCAGACTCACTACATGTTCAAAATACAAAGCATATGAACTTCTTTTGCAGTTTCAAACATAAATTTATCTTCACAAACATTCTTCAACTTTTTAGTGGAAACATTCGCAGCATTTAAAGGATGCCAGCATTGATTTCTGCACACATTTGAATAAGGAAAATCAATGCACACACCAAAGGGCTAGTTTAAGCAACAAACCATATGGAACAAGTAAACAATAAAGCAGGTAAAAACTCCCATTTAACATTGGTATCATGAATTATATATCGGAGACATGTAGCTTCTGTTATGAGATTAAATGTCAATAACCTTGTAATTGGGGAATTAAAGTGTACGATCATTAGCTCAACTTTATTCAACTAAGATTTCATGTCTAAACAGAACCTTAAAAAAAATACATGACAAGAAGACATAACACAAAATTGGAAACATAATAACATCCAAGTATTCACTCTCCCTTCATTCTACTTGGTTGATGAGGCTACATCTGACTTCTTTTCCTGTGGTTTACGGAACGGATCCTGAAAATTAAAAAAAAAAAAAAAAAGGTTAGACAATATATTAGACACAGCATAAAAACCAAAATATATTAAGCAGCTCTGCAAACATATAAGAGAAGACGACAACTTTCTATAAGCTTCAAATTTATCAGAACTATGTGATGTTAGAATATCTCATTAATTTCAGTGGTTATTTTAAGCTTGGTAAACTATTCTCTGCTCAAAATTGGTAAGATTACAACAATGGAAGATTTATGAGAACTAAAAGTAAACAGTAACATTACACAAAACCTTAAATTGATTTGGTTTTTATAGAAATTATCAATTGTGCATATCGGTCACAAGTATAGCAAACGCGATCAGTAATTTATAATACCCAATCCAAAATCAAGAATCGGACACTCAAGTTCCAATCCCTAACTTTTACGATATTCTATATCATCACATCAGAATCGAATGTTACAAAATACCCTAGAAATAATAAGGATAATAAGAAAAATAAATAATAAAACAGAGAAACTTTGAGTGATAGATCTGAAAGCTTATGCTTTAAAATAAAGAAGAGTTATAAAAGTTACATGATCAACGAAGATAAAGTTGGCGACGACCACGGCGGCTACTATTCCACCCAGAATGGCGGTTGGGCCAGTTAACAAACTCCATTTACGGTGTATCATTTTGCTTCCCCTCCTGCGCTCAGAAACTCGTCTTCTGGTTAATGCTTATGTCTTCGATAAGCTTAGGTGATTGATGACGTGCCAAGTACCAACCCGATAACATTACTATTGGGCTCCTTTTTAGATGGGCTGAAATTCTGAGCCTGGCCCATTTGGTTTAACTGTTGACAGATTGTAAATCAACATAAAACTATTATTTAAAGTAATTTTTTAAAATACAAATACAATATTTTGTGAATCAGATATATAATTTAAAAACATAAAAGGTTTTTACCTATATAAAAACCAATAGATTTTTAAAATCTTTAATAAAAATAAAACAATTTTGTTTTACTGACCATAAATAAATAACTTTAATTCATTGAACTAAATATGACAATAAAAAAAATATACATACCATCACTCAAATTTAAAACATAACGCATTCTACAGCCACTTAAATAATGCAAACAAATTTTTCACAAACACAGTAACCGCTGGGTGAATCGCTTGCCCACAAAGCCAACTGCACAGAAGCTACCTATGGTACTCTAATACAAAAAACCATACTGGCAAAAAAACGCAGTTGATTAGCTTTGAGATACCATGGATCAAAAGCCCCACATAGCTGTAGTACCCAGTCCAGGAATGGGTCACCTCATCCCACTCGTTGAGTTTGCCAAACAACTCGTTCTTCACCATGAATTCGTACTCACTTTCATCGTCACCTCCACCGGATCCGAACTCCTCAAAGCCCAAAAATCAGCCCTTGACAATCTCCCTCCATCCATAAACCTTATTTTTCTTCCTCCAGTTTCCTTTGAAGATCTATCTAAAGATACAAGCATCCAAGCCAAACTTACCCTCACTATCACTCGCTCTCTTTCTTTAATTAGTGAAGTCATCAGGTCATTAGTTTCTACTTCGAGACTCGTGGCTTTGGTTACTGATCATTTCGGTACAGACGCTTTTGATGTCGCAGTTGAATTTAATGTCCCTCCATATCTATTTTTCAAATCATCCCCTTTGCAATTGGCGTTTCTATTGTTTAACTTGCCAACTATGGATCTGAATATTTCCTGCGAGTACAGAGACATGCCTACACAGGTTCTTGATATACCAGGATTTGGTGTCTTGGTCCATGTATCAGACTTACCCGACCCTGTTCAAAATCGAAAAAGTGATGCATACAAATGGTTTCTTCACAACACGAAACGGTTTGTTATAGCGGAAGGTATTCTGATAAATAGCTTTGTTGACTTTGGAGTAAGGCTCATTGACGCTTTGCAAGAGGAAGGAACAGGTAAGCCTCCTGTTTACCCGATTGGACCGCTCATAAGGTCCAGCTCCAGTAATGAAACTAATGGATCTGATTGTCTTAAATGGTTAGATAACCAACCAAGTAACTCAGTTTTATTTGTTTCATTTGGTAGTGGCGGAACCCTTTCTTATGATCAGCTCAATGAATTTGCCTTAGGCTTAGAAATGAGTGAGCAAAAATTTTTATGGGTTGTAAAAAGTCCAGATAACAAGTCTGCTAGTGGTTCATATTTTAGTATCCAAAGTAACAAAAACCCTTTTGATTTCTTGCCAAAAGGGTTTGTAGAAAGGACCAAGGGACAGGGTTTGGTAGTGTCATCTTGGGCACCACAAATTGAAATACTTGGACATAGCTCAACTGGAGGGTTCGTGACCCATTGTGGTTGGAATTCAATTCTTGAAAGTGTAGTGCATGGCGTGCCTTTGATTGCTTGGCCTCTATTTGCTGAACAAAAGTTGAACGCTGTGATGTTATCTGAAGATCAAAAAGTAGCATTGAGACCTAAAGCCAATGAAAATGGGCTAATTGGAAGAAATGAAATCGCAAAGGTTGTAAAGGATCTCTTGAGAAGTGAAGAAGGAATGAGGATTCGTGAACGAATGAACGGCCTAAAAGAGGCTGCAGCCAAGGCTTTGAGTAAAGGAGGATCATCTACAAAAACACTTTCTGACTTGGTGCTCAAGTGGAAGAATCATAAAATTTAACTTCTTCTTTACTCTGTGTTGTTGTATTTCCACTGTATATTCATGCCGTCGTGGTTAACTCTGACATGAGATGTAAAAGAATATTGAGTTGCCTCACTGGGGTTGCAATTTTATCCTTGACAGCGTACGGCATCGCATGCCTTTTAATTGCTTTCCTCTATTTGCAAGCAGAAGTTGAACGCACTAATATTATCTGAGGACCGAAAAGTTGCACTGAGACCAAAAGCCAACTATAATGGCATAGTTGGAAGAGAGGAGATTGCAGAGATTATGAGACCAAAAGCCAACGATAATGGCTTAATTGGAAAAGAGGAGATTGCAGAGATTAATTGATTAAGAACTGAGAAGAAATTATTTTTTTGAACTTATTGGTGGCTCTGTTCACTTTCACTTCCCTGCCAATCTTCCATTGACCCTTGCCCCCTTAAAGTCCTGCAATTAAATAAGAATATCAACGCCCCTCACCAAAGAAGATCAAAAACCTAACCCTGCTTAAATTATCTATGAAGACTTTCCGTCTGTTTTGCTGCTTTCCTACTGTCTTAAAAACTAAAAAATTGCATTTGTTTTGATATTCTCAAAATTCAATCGTATTTTATTCAACTCAAATATTTAAATTTGTTAATTTAACTAAACACTTTCAATAATAAAAGTTTAAAAATTAACAAAAATACCCTCACCTACTCACATTTGTCAAATTCTGGCTACTATCGTCGGAAGATGGTTGAAATCTATCATAATGGTGCACTATTGGTTGGATCTAGTCGATAGTGTATCGATCACTATTGGTTGGATCTAGTCGATAGTGTATCGATCTAGCCACATCTGGTCGTTAACGACGGTCATATCTTAGCCATCAACGGCCAGACATGTGGCTGTAGATCTAGCTTTTTTTGACCAGATTTACGGTGGATTTGGTTGAGAAATATCAGATTGGCGCACTATAGGTTAGATCCAGCCAGTAGTGCATCATTACAACAGATTCTGACCACCTTCCAACTGTGGCCGGAATCTGACAAATATTGGTAAGTGAGGGTGTTTTTGTCAATTTATAAATTTTTATTGTTTGGGATGTTTAGTTAAATTAACAAACCTAAAAAGTTAAAAATAATCTAAATATTGGGTAGTTGAATAGGATTTTGGGAATAATATTGGGTAGTTAAATAGGAGAGTACTGTGAGGTAAAATTTAAAAATTTATAAAAAAAAACCCCTAGGTTTACTAATTTAATTAAACATCCCAACATATAAAATGACAAAAACACCCCCACCACCTGTAGTGCCAGATTCCGACCACCACCGCCAGAATTTGGTCGAAAAATTGCGTTACGACACAAATCGGTTGGATCTATGTCGTAAAGCCTCGATATAGCCTTTTCTGGTCAAATCCACCACGGATCTGGCCGGAAAATGCTAGATCCACGGCCAAATGTGGCCGTTGACGGTCGAAAAAGGCCAAAGAAGACCATTGTTGAACGACGGCCAAAGATATGGTCGTCGTTTTAGGTCAACGACGGCCAGATCTGGCATTTTCCAGCCAGATCCACTGTGGATTTGGCAATCGGTGAACTATCAGCCAGTGGCCATCGTGGTGTAGGCCGTTGTACAGATTTCGGCTATCACTGACGGTGGTTGCTAGAATCTGGCAAGAATGGGTTAATGGGGGTATTTTTGTTAAATTTTAAACTTTTTTTAGGGGGTATTTAATAAAATTAATAAGCTTAAGGGGTCTAAAAGTTATTAAAAATATATAGTAATATTTCTGGAATAATGTGCCAAACAATATTTGAAGAATAAGATTGAAAATATAGGTAAAAATATTGAACCAAACGCACCCCTAAATATTTTTAGAAAATACTATTAAAAAATATTAAAAAAAAAAAAACTTATGAATACTATTCAACTCAACTTGTTTAAAAAGACAATTATAAAAACTACCATAGATAATATAACAAATAAATATAATTAATTAAAAATTCAACACCTACCCATCCCAACTACCTAATCAATAATTGAGCTGGTTGTAATCTAAAGCCTAGAAGTCTTGCATAGACTCTTCAGATCTCTGCCCCGCCGGGAACAGTATCACTCTTCTTCTTCTATTCAGTATAATCCAACGCAATTGAACTGAGATTAGTTTACTAGCCCAACCATGGAAGCTAAGCCCCATATAGCCGTAGTACCGAGTCCAGGAATAGGTCACCTCGTCCCAGTCATTGAGTTGGCCAGGCAACTTGTTCTCCGCCATAACTTCTGCTTCACAATCATCATCTCCACAACGGGCCCTCCATCCAAAACCCTCATATCCTCCCTTGAAAATCTCCCAAATTCCATAAACCATGTTTTCCTTCCCCCAGCTTCCCTCGATGACTTATCCAGCGATGCAAGCATCCAAGCTAAAATATCCCTTAATGTGACTCGCTCTCTTTCTTTTATTCGCGACGCACTCAAGTCACTGCTTTCAACTACTAGACTTGTGGCGTTGGTTGTTGATCTTTTTAGCACTGATGCCATTGATGTTGCGAATGAATTTAATATATCTCCATACGTATTTTACACTTCAGCACATTTCACTTTGTCTTTGGTTCTTTCCGCTCCAAAACTGGATGAGATGGTTACTGGTGAGTTCAGAGACATGTCGGAACCGGTCAAAATACCAGGTTGTAGTGTCCCAGTTCATGCAAGAGATTTGCCACAACCGTTTCAAGACAGAACAAGCGACGCGTACAAATGGATTCTTCACCATGCGAAACGATTGCTTTCAGTTGAGGGTATTCTTGTGAATAGCTTCATGGACTTGGGAGCAGAAGTTTTTAAAGCTTTGCAAGAGCCAGGTAAGCCACCAGTTTATCCGGTTGGACCGTTAATTCGGTCGAGTTCTAGCAGTGGGAGTACCGATGAATCTGATTGTCTAAAATGGTTAAATCATCAGCCAACTGGTTCTGTTTTGTTTGTTTCATTTGGTAGTGGCGGGACTCTGTCTCACGACCAACTCAATGAATTAGCTTTAGGTTTAGAAATGAGTGAGCAGAGATTTTTATGGGTGGTAAGAAGCCCTGATAATTCGTCATCCAGTGGCTCCTATTTCGGTGCCCAAAGTAATGCAGAACCATTTGGATTTCTACCAAAAGGGTTCTTGGAAAGGACTAAAGCACAAGGTCTAGTTGTTCCGTCTTGGGCGCCACAGATTGAAGTCCTAAGCCATGGCTCAACTGCTGGTTTTTTATCTCATTGTGGCTGGAATTCGACACTCGAAAGTGTTGTGCATGGGGTGCCTTTCATTACTTGGCCTCTGTTTGCGGAACAAAGGCTAAATGCTTTAATGTTGTGCGAGGATCTAAAAGTGGGACTGAGACCCAAAGCCAATGAAAATGGGCTGGTGGGAAGAGAAGAGATTGCAAAGGTTGTGAAGCATCTATTGCAGGGCGAAGAAGGATTAAGAATGCGACACCGTATGAACATCCTGAAGGATGCTGCAGCCAAGGCCTTGACTGAAGAAGGATCTTCTACAAAGTCGCTCTCTGAGTTGGTTCTCAAGTTTAAAACTCAAATAGAGACCGAAGAAACCATTTGAATGACTCAATGGCGGGTTGATTCAAAAGGATTCCAGCTCCATCTGTCTGGACTGCAAAGTTATTTTGAAAATTGTACAACTATAGTTTCTGATAGCGTGGCGGAAATGTTAAATAATATGGTTAATGTTTTGGTTTCTAATATCTTTGATAGTACAGCATAATCTCCCGTATTCATAATATTAGGATAAACTAAATTTATTATTATGAGGAGGTTTTAATTTAATAGAGGTATAATTATAAAATTTATTATTTTGATTAAAAAATTACTGTTTTGATTTATTGTTTTATAATTTATGTTTTAGTAATAGAAATGAATTTAGTGATTAAATTTGACAATTTCACTATACAAATCAAATGGATATTAATGTTTTCCTCAATTATTCAAATGAGCAACAAGTCATATATGTTTTAATTGAAGAAAAAATCATTATTACAATTAAACAAGAAGAGGAAGAAGATAATCCTGAGAATGATATTACGAAAATACCAAAAGTTTTGTGCCAAGAAACACTAAACATGCTTGAGAAGCAAGAAAGATTTTGGTTTCAACAAAAAAGTGTTCATGCTAACGGTTTGTTACGTACTTGCGAGATAAAAGATGTGATAACGACTCTAAATTATAAATCATTATCTCAAACAACTTTATAAATATTTTATTTCATCTTAAACTTTAATGTAATATGGTATATATGTTTTTTGTAATATACATATAATTATTATTATGTAGAGGCAAATTTTTTGATGACTACCTAACGGTTATTATTATACAACAGAGAATCACTATAAAAATGTTTTGTTTTATAATAATTATCATTATTTTTCGGACTTCAAATGCAATATGTTCTTCTGAGAAGATTGGTAAGTATCGGCCACTACCAATAGGCTACTCTTTCCTTAAATTTTGATCCGAAAAATGGCCCAGCCCATGAGTTCCTGCGAACAGAGGGTTACAGTATACACCAATTGGGCCCATTATTGGAAATCAAAATTCAAAATTCAAAACATATAATAGTAGATATGTGAATTGTAATATAGCCTGTGATGTGTTAAATCACTCCTGATTTTTACAACCCCTCAACTGGATTTTTACAAATGAAATTTTGATAATAGGTGTGGGAATATTTTGACTATAAATAGGGAAAAATTTCACAACAAAAATTCCTTTTATATTTAACCATCTAGATGCTGCTAGTATTTTTCAAAGTTATGATTTTATTGTTTATATATGGGCTTCTTTTTTCTTTTTCCCCCATTATTTTGGGAGCTTTAGTCAGTACATCTGAGTTGAATAAGTTTTATAGTTAAATTGCGAATACTAATAATTTGATGAAGAATTAGATAAAGTAGGCTGAATAAAAGTATAGAAAATTAGAATAGATTACGACATTACATCTAGATTTGTAATTAATATTTTGATTATTATAAGAGTTTGAAGATAAAATGCTAAACCTAACAACAGACATGACTATTGATATGTAATTTTCACCTTACTATTATCATCACACCAACGTCACGTCATTAATCTTATAAACTGTCTTTATTGAATGCATAGATCGTTTCATATGTTACTTAGCCCAATTTTCTTTCTCATATTTAATTAATTATATGAAAGCTACACACTCTCTCTAGCCCATAAATAATACTATGTAACAAAATTCTATTAATCAAATGAAGTCTTCAAAACCAAACAATTCTAGAAGAATTTGATTTATTTTTTTATCTAACAACGACTTACACTAGTCTCTACAGTTGAGAATAATATACCGTTTGTTTAATTATTTTTTCCTATCATATTAATACTATTTCCAAAATACACATTTGTTTTCCTATTTTGAAAATACTATTATATTTTATTCAACTATTTTTAACCCCCTAAATTTATTAATTTAACTAAACACCAAAAAAAAAAAAAAGTTTAGAAATTGACAAAAACACCCCACCACCTACATTTGCTAGATTCCAGCCACCACCACCGGAAGGTGGTCGGAATCAGGTATAATGGTGCACTACCTGTCAAATCCAGTCAGATCTATGGCCAAAGATCTAACCGTTGATGGTCATATCTTTGGTCGTTGTTGACGATCAAATACGGCTAGATCTGACATTTTTTGGCCAAATCCATGGTGGATCTGGTTGGAAAATGCCATCTTGCCGCACAACCAGCTAGATCCAACTGGTCGTGCACCGTAATGTCAGATTTCGACGGTAGTGGTGGGAATCTGGCAACTGTGCGTGGTGGGGGTGTTTTTGTCATTTTATAAAAAATTTATATATTGGGGTGTTTAGTTATATTAACAAACTTTAGGGATTTTTTTATCAATTTTTAAATTCTATCTCGTAACAATCATCAAACTCTACCTACCAATAATATTTTAAAAATAATAAAATAAACATACTCACATAATTGCAAGTAGTAAAGCTGGTATTTATTAGATTATTTTCATTAATTTATCATAGCGTAAATATCGAAAGCATATTGTTATTTAAATGAATACCAATGATCTTCTTCGGACATTCCAAGAATTATTAACATCATAATTCAAAATTTTGTAGGGCCGCGACACAATACCTTCCAAACAGGGACATTAATGTTTTATATGACCAAAATTATTGAATAAACTTTTCAGAAAAGATAAAAAAAATAAATTGTAAATGCCGACAAGTGGAGCAAGTTGAGGTCCAAAGGCCAAAATAAGTACAACAACCGACTAATAGACCAAGGCCTCACATTCATAACATGACGCAATATTTGAACCTGGACACCATACAAAAGGTGGCTCGTGCGGATATAAAAACAAGAATGTAAATGTTAGACAAGATTGAAAAAGTCTCGAAATTTTGCATCAACATCAAATCCAATCCCTCCAAAAACAAAAGAAAAGCCATTACCCAATAATATAACAAGATAGTGCGCATTTTTCTTTGGAAAATGGTTCAATCTTTCAAATTATTCACTTTTCTCCATATTTGACACCCATCATTAGAGCTTTCCAATTGCCTTTTAATTTTAATTTTAATTTAAATAAACAAAAAAATTCGTGAAAATATTTATTTTTAGGATAGAGCGTTTATCACTCACTCGCCAAGTCGAGAAGACAGAGCGTTTATCAAAGTTGAGATCCTTAATTACACATTACCATTTATTAAGCTATTATAACACAATTTTTTAACTTATGATTCAATATAATTCAACCAAATTGAATAAGAAATTAAAGTTAGTTATTTTTAATGCCAAATAAATTATTTTTAATAAATTACTATAAATGAATGACTATATATTTGGTGTTACAATAATTTGACTTATTAATATAACTAATATGGACTGCATTTAAATTTTAATATGTTTGTATGATTCTTTCTTTGATGATAATATCTATCCTTTGGATATTATAATTAATATATTAATGATAGGAGAGAGGATAAAGTATGTAACAGTTGTGGTTCTTGTGTAAGTGTTGCACCTTTTTGATACCAAAGTTGTGATATTTGATTAAATCATATCAAAAATCAGGAGCAATAATTGAGAGATAAAGAGCTGATAACGTAAGCCTTACGTTAGAACTGACATCACACCCACATGTAATTTTTCGCCACATTTATATATAAAATTCGCCGCTCCACATAATTCAACAATGACCACTACGTACGTACCCTACCCGCTCGCCTTTGAACCATCAAATTGAAGTATTCAGCAACCCCACTTCAAAATAATACATACAAACAAACTATTAACACCCCAATTTCATTTTCTCCTATACAGCACACATGTACAAATAATTTAATAATACAACCCATCTTCTATATAAGCCACCCATATCCTCTCATCTTCCTCCACACTTAAAAAAAAAAAAACACCCCGAAACCAGAACCAGGTTCTGAATCAAGCTTACCAACCATGGCACAAACAAAAGTACCCCATATAGCTGTTGTACCCACTCCAGGGATGGGCCATCTCATCCCACTCATTGAGTTCGCTAAACGAGTCGTTCAACAACATCAATTCGCTGTCACTTTTATTATTCCTACCGACGGGGCTCCTACTAAAGCCCAAACGTCTACTCTTGCCTCTCTTCCTTCTTCCATCAACTCCATTTTTCTTCCCCCGGTTACATTAGACGACGCCCCAGAAAATTCAAAAATTGAAACCTTAATTTCTCTCACTTTGGCTCGCTCTCTTCCTTCTCTTCGGGATGCGTTGAAGTCACTTGTAGCTAATACCTCACTGGTCAGCTTGGTGGTCGATCTTTTTGGCACTGACGCCTTTGATGTTGCTAAAGAATTTAATTTGTCACCCTTCATTTTCTTCCCATCCACGGCCATGGCTTTGTCTTTGTTTCTGTATTTGCCTACACTTGATGCCTCAGTGTCATGTGAGTATAGAGACCTTCCTGAACCCGTGAATATACCCGGGTGCATACCCATTCACGGTAAATATTTGCTCGACCCGGTTCAAGACAGAAAAAATGAAGCATATAAATGGGTTCTCCACCATACAAAAAGGTATAGAATGGCTGAGGGCATTATGGTAAATAGCTTCATGGAATTGGAAGGAGGAGCTATTAAGGCTCTGCAAGAGGCTGAACCCGGTAAACCACCGGTTTACCCGGTTGGACCACTTGTGAAAATGGGTTCAAGTACAAGAACTGATGATGATGAATCCTTAAAGTGGTTGGATACTCAGCCACGTGGGTCTGTATTATTCGTTTCTTTCGGTAGCGGTGGGACCCTCTCTTCCCGTCAGTTAAATGAGTTGGCTTTGGGGTTAGAGATGAGTGAGCAAAGATTTTTATGGGTAGTAAGAAGCCCAAATGACGAGGTTGCTAATGCTACATATTTTGGAGTTCATGGCCAGAATGAGTTTTTGAAATTTCTACCAGAAGGGTTTTTAGAGAGGACCAAGGGGCGAGGTCTGGTGGTGCCATCGTGGGCACCACAGGCACAAGTGTTGAGCCACGACTCCACAGGGGGGTTCTTGACCCATTGTGGATGGAATTCTGTTCTGGAGAGTGTTGTAAATGGTGTACCATTAATAGCATGGCCACTTTATGCAGAACAGAAAATGAACGCTGTGACGCTCACCGAGCACATTCAAGTGGCATTGAGACCAAAAGCTAGTGAAAATGGCCTTTATGGAAAAGAAGAAATTGCTAGAGTTGTTAAGGGTTTAATGGAAGGTGAAGAAGGTAAACGTGTTCGCTATAGAATGAAGGACTTAAAAGATGCGGCCGCAGCTGTGCTCAGTGAAAATGGTTCTTCAACAAAAGCACTTACTGAAGTTGCTCTCAAATGGAAGAACAAAATATCCAATTAAATGTATTTTCTTGTTTTGTTTGTAGCTGTTTTTATTTATTCAAATAGTTATATTATATAAACCGTGTGATTGTATGATAATTGTGGTCTTTCTCAGGATGTGAATATGTCAAATAATACAATAAATTTCTTGAGAAGTCATTTCTTTTTCTTGGCTTGGTTATACAATTAAAGGAAGTGGGTGGAACAGGTGGGAAGCCATTGGCAACTGCAGTCTGCAGTATAGAAGAAATTAGAATTTAGAAGAACAGCTTTGAATTGAGCAAAAAAGAGTGGACCCAATGAACAAGAAAATTGTATACAATGAAGTGATAGCCACTTAGCTAATTATAATAGTAGTTGGTGGGTGGCAGTGGCATAGAAATAAGGATAAGTCTTAACAATAAGAACAAACAAAATGTGTAGAGTAAAGAGTTGGGCGTTTTAGTCAGCCGGGGCCAGATTTCCAGCTCAAACCCTATACTTTATAATCAGCCGTAACAATCCCTCCCGCCGACACACTGCAAATGTGTGGAACCTAGCACGTGCTTCACACGCCAGTCATATCGTACCATTCAATTATATACTGCCACATTATTTGTGTAGGGTTCAACATCCACGAGAAATTGCAACTTTTTCAGATCTGAAAATATCGGTTTCGTTTAAGTTAGAATTTAAGGTTATACAAATAAAGAGGTTTGATTATAATCTAGTATTGGTCAAATTTATTTTATAAATTTTACATATAATTTAAGTTTTAATATCGTTTGTTAGTAAAGCCGTGTAACATTGGAAAACGCACTGATAATATTATAATATTAATTTTAAATATAAAGTTGACTAGTGTACTTATAAATACCATGTCATTTTGTTAAGACTTAAGATATCACATGGATGCCAATACCGTACACAATGTTCAAGAGCTTATCTGACGCAAACAAATAAAATTCAAATATTGTTTAATAAATTATATTAGTTCTCTAAATAAATGTGCTTGAAAATTTATTTTATACAATCAAGAAGTAAATTTAAATTTAATTTACATTGATAAGAATATCGTAAACATGAAAAGAATATTTTGAATTCGTTTTTACCCCCCTTTTAGGTATATATGCTTTAAAATTTTGTTTTTCTAATAAAGATCTCTACTTTAATTAATGTTTAGTATTACTTGGTTGAAGAGCAAATAAACTGCAAGGAAGGATATGATATCACGTGCAAATATTTGTATAAATTTTGTAAAATATTTAATACTAGAAAAACCAATTATAAATAATGTATCTTTCTTGAAAAAGTAATTATAAAAATTGAGGAGTCAATTACTTCAAAAAAAATAGTTAATGATAAGCCTAATCAGCTTCCAATATATAATTACTTATAAATGTAAAACAATAATAATAATTAATTAATTAAACTAGAAATAGGCGTGTGGTGAGGTAATACAAGCTTAACAAGAGTAAATGAGGTCTTATATGGTGATGACAAGTGTATGAAGTTAGAATGTTCTTTCCACGAGATGCTTAGCTAAGCGTAGCATCACTAGGCTTTAGATAATGTGGACCGACCTTAAATGTGTCCCTTTCTACACTACCCCTAGCCCACGTGGTCCACCACTTCACGAGTGCATCTTAATATATTGTTAAAAAATAATAATTATTTTAAATTATCATCTTCAATTATAATCGGAAGGAAATGGATAATAATTTGATGAAAATATTCAAAGGTCTCTTCTATTATAAATGCCTTATCTAAACATCATGCTATCCATCATGGTTAATAGATAGAAATCATCAACTTCTTATGGACTGGATTAAAGTATTACTTAATTTTAATTTTTTTTTGTATATTTTATCCTTTTAACTAAAAATTTAAGGCAAGCCCTGCCCACTTAATCATATGTGATACGTACTGTTGATTTTATAGTCTCTAAATTCTCGAAAATTATGATTTCATTAAACCCCATTATATACGAGCAGTTCGAAGTTCCAACGCTTGGTTCTAGATTCTATATATTTCAAAGTTTTGACATAATATCTTCATATAATGACTGATTACCTAACCAATAATAATGATACCAGCCAGATTGTCCTAACTACAAATTCTTAACCTAATCGTTTATTAAATAAAACTCCCTAATACTATTTTAATACATGAATCTGTATTACAAAAAAATGTATATTAATAATAAAAAAAAGTAATAATTAAGAGTTAGTTAGTGAAATAATTGTTTTTTAATCTTCATTTAATGGCCATAACATAACATCTCACCTTTCTATCTACCAAAAGCCCATAAAAGCGAAACACTAACAAATGAGAATGATTCTTTGAGAATGCGTCAAGGGGAGTATGATTCCATAAGCTTATCATCATTTCATCTGTAGAAGATATTCAAGCACCACCTTTTTACTCTTTTTACTTAAAGTTAATTATTATTACTTTATTAATTTATTCTATTTTATTATGTAATAAAAAAAAAAACACATCATTTCAACACTCCTTATGGGTCAAAAGTTGTTCATCATTATTGTACCTTTCCGATACAAGTATTAATATCATATCCACATCTTCTCTTTTTTCTTCTATAATTCTAACCCTTGTCTCCTAAACTCTTTCTTCATGCATAACATATTTGACTCGCTACTTAAAGGGATACCTTTTTTTAATTTTTTATTATTATTTAAAAAAAATGTTTCCTTTATAGATAAATTAATATAATTTTCAAAATTTTGTAATTATGGTCAGGTAAACCTGGATTTGGGTTTAAGAACATGAATTAGTTTAGTTTTTAGTTTATGGCAACTGGAAAGGTCCATTAAGCTCTGAATTGGGCTTCATAATAAATATAAGAGTAGTGTTATTTGAAAGAGGAGAGGAAGTGAAGGAAAATGTTGTGTGTTTGGTATAGCTCTCCAATTAAGTTTGTTTGTGTAGGAATTTATTATTATTATTTTATTCAATCACAATTATGATTAACTAGTGGGTATGTGGTAATGAAAGGATAATCGGATTTTAATTGATCAAAAGTAAACGAAAGAGATGGAGCATTACTATTATGAAAATTGAATTAGTTGTTGAAGCAACATTAATGGCTGTCTTTAAGTCTTCTTTTGCATTTCTTTTTGTGAGAGGAAAGTGGGGCAGGTTTTAAACCACATATACATTTTTCCATGGATCAGAAGAACAACTGTAAGATATGTTTTACTGGAGCTGCAGGTTACGTTGGCTCCTATTTTAGTGTTATAGAGTTGGGCGTTTTAGTCAGCCGGGGCCAGATTTCCAGCTCAAACCCTATACTTTATAATCAGCCGTAACAATCCCTCCCGCCGACACACTGCAAATGTGTGGAACCTAGCACGTGCTTCACACGCCAGTCATATCGTACCATTCAATTATATACTGCCACATTATTTGTGTAGGGTTCAACATCCACGAGAAATTGCAACTTTTTCAGATCTGAAAATATCGGTTTCGTTTAAGTTAGAATTTAAGGTTATACAAATAAAGAGGTTTGATTATAATCTAGTATTGGTCAAATTTATTTTATAAATTTTACATATAATTTAAGTTTTAATATCGTTTGTTAGTAAAGCCGTGTAACATTGGAAAACGCACTGATAATATTATAATATTAATTTTAAATATAAAGTTGACTAGTGTACTTATAAATACCATGTCATTTTGTTAAGACTTAAGATATCACATGGATGCCAATACCGTACACAATGTTCAAGAGCTTATCTGACGCAAACAAATAAAATTCAAATATTGTTTAATAAATTATATTAGTTCTCTAAATAAATGTGCTTGAAAATTTATTTTATACAATCAAGAAGTAAATTTAAATTTAATTTACATTGATAAGAATATCGTAAACATGAAAAGAATATTTTGAATTCGTTTTTACCCCCCTTTTAGGTATATATGCTTTAAAATTTTGTTTTTCTAATAAAGATCTCTACTTTAATTAATGTTTAGTATTACTTGGTTGAAGAGCAAATAAACTGCAAGGAAGGATATGATATCACGTGCAAATATTTGTATAAATTTTGTAAAATATTTAATACTAGAAAAACCAATTATAAATAATGTATCTTTCTTGAAAAAGTAATTATAAAAATTGAGGAGTCAATTACTTCAAAAAAAATAGTTAATGATAAGCCTAATCAGCTTCCAATATATAATTACTTATAAATGTAAAACAATAATAATAATTAATTAATTAAACTAGAAATAGGCGTGTGGTGAGGTAATACAAGCTTAACAAGAGTAAATGAGGTCTTATATGGTGATGACAAGTGTATGAAGTTAGAATGTTCTTTCCACGAGATGCTTAGCTAAGCGTAGCATCACTAGGCTTTAGATAATGTGGACCGACCTTAAATGTGTCCCTTTCTACACTACCCCTAGCCCACGTGGTCCACCACTTCACGAGTGCATCTTAATATATTGTTAAAAAATAATAATTATTTTAAATTATCATCTTCAATTATAATCGGAAGGAAATGGATAATAATTTGATGAAAATATTCAAAGGTCTCTTCTATTATAAATGCCTTATCTAAACATCATGCTATCCATCATGGTTAATAGATAGAAATCATCAACTTCTTATAGACTGGATTAAAGTATTACTTAATTTTAATTTTTTTTTGTATATTTTATCCTTTTAACTAAAAATTTAAGGCAAGCCCTGCCCACTTAATCATATGTGATACGTACTGTTGATTTTATAGTCTCTAAATTCTCGAAAATTATGATTTCATTAAACCCCATTATATACGAGCAGTTCGAAGTTCCAACGCTTGGTTCTAGATTCTATATATTTCAAAGTTTTGACATAGTATCTTAATATAATGACTGATTACCTAACCAATAATAATGATACCAGCCAGATTGTCCTAACTACAAATTCTTAACCTAATCGTTTATTAAATAAAACTCCCTAATACTATTTTAATACATGAATCTGTATTACAAAAAAATGTATATTAATAATAAAAAAAAGTAATAATTAAGAGTTAGTTAGTGAAATAATTGTTTTTTAATCTTCATTTAATGGCCATAACATAACATCTCACCTTTCTATCTACCAAAAGGCCATA